CAGGTGTCTGGCCCTAGCAGGTCCTTGACAGGCCCAGCAGCATGGCACTTCCTGGGTCCTGCCTGGGCCCCCTGGACCTCCGCTAGGACTATGCTCATCTGAGGAGCTTAGCTAAATGCTGGGTACAGTCCACAAGCCACACAACACCCCCAGGGGCTTCTTCATAGGAAAATAACTTCACTGCAAGGAAATCGAAGAAAGCCTGATAAGGCCCTGCAGGTCGGTGAAAAGGATTGTTTTGCTGAGAACTTCTCTCGTTTTAGCATGAAGGCCCCTTGTTCCAGGCAAGCAGGGATGGTTGGCCACCCCACTTGGCACATCCTGGACGCTCACCCTGACACAGTAGAGGCAGCTGTCACATTCCCTGCTCATGGACTCTTTGTGGCTGAGAGAACGAGGAGAAGGGAAGAAAGAGAGGAGAGTGGTGAGGGGGATTCCCAGCCATGCAGGCCACTTTGGTCACTCTGACGGCTGCTGTGGATACAGGGGACCCAAGACCCTACCCTGAAAGCTACCTGGGCTGAGTTTGTGTTCTCTAAAATTGAAGAATGAAATTGAGGAACAATGGACGTTAAGAGCAGACTCTATTTATTAGGGGAAAGAAGACTTCTGTCCAAGAGAGGGACAGGAGGGGACCTGAGTGCTGTCAAGGAATCTGCCTTTTCTAGGGAATTTTGTAGCACAAAGCCATGGGGTGAGGCGGGTCCAAGGTAGGAAACATGGAACCCGTTAGGTGGGCATGAGGTGGGACAACACTATGCTCAACCAATAAGATTAGAAACGCCATTGCTCAGGTAAAATTGATTAATCCAGGACCAAATGGGGAAGCAAGTCATATAGCAGGCGAGCAGGAATACAGAACGGGGGCTCTTTCTGTAGGGGACTGGGTTAGTGACTCTTCCCAGGTTTTTCAAGGTGAGGGATACCTATGCCCATCCCTAGGGAACTATGCGGGTACATTTGATCTTTGTCATCTTAAGGTCTGGCCCACCGTCGGAGCGCCCTTCTCACTCACAGCTGCAGGCCATCTTGTCTTCCACACCAGCTCCTTGAGGGCCTGGCCCTGTGCGTCTGCTGACCATATTTCTATCTAACTGGGCTGTCTGCAGCACCACCACCCTCTTGCCCGGGGTCAGATGCCATTCTCCAGGGAGATGTGAGTAAAAGCCCACTGCCCGACGTGCTGTCAGTAGTTTTAATTTTAATTTTTTGTCTTTTTTGAGACAGGGCTTCGCCATGCCATTCAGGCTAGCCTCAAGCTCACATCGTAGGCCAGGCTTGGCCTTGTATGTGCATTGGTCCTTGTGCCTCAGCCTCTCGAGTGCTGGGATTGAAGGTATGTGCCACCACATCCTGCCTGGCTGGAAGTGGCTTTGCATCACAGGAGAGGAACACAAATCAGGAGACTTGTAGGGAAGAGGGAGCAGGAAGGGGAGAGGGGGAGGGGAGAAGAGAGGAGAAGGGAGAAGAGGGGAGGGAGGGATTCAGAGCTATCTCTGTCAGAGAAACAGCATTCAAGAAAAAGGAGTAGTGTGCTCAGGCTGGGGAGATAGCTTGGTGGACTGAGCGCCTGTCTGGCAAGCGCAAGGACCTGGGTTTGATCCCTAGCACCGCACACCGCACTGGCCCCACCCCGACACGCTGAGCCCCCCACCGACACTGGGCATGGTGCCGCACGCCTGTAATCCCAGCACTAAGGAGGCCGAAAGCAGGAGGATCACTTCGGGTTCAAGCTGCATAGGGAGATTCTGTAACCAATAAATAAATAAGTAAATAAGTGGTGTACTCTGAACAAAGAACACCTGGAGAACAAGAAAGAGAACTTGGGCAACAGGCGGGCCTGAGGGCGCTGTGCGGAGCTGAGCCCGCCTGTGGAGGCGAGGAGTGCTAGGGCTTGCGCATTGGGGGTTGCATCGCGGGTGCCGTGTCAGGAAAGGAAAGACCAGATATTTGTGACCAAAGAAGATCACGAGACCCTTAGCTGTGCAGAGCCGGTGGCCGATGACCCCAGTGACCCATACAAAGAACATGGTTTGATACTCCCAAGTGGAGAAATTAACTGCAACTGCTCTGCCTGGGGAGACAGCCAGCAGCCCCTGTGGAGAGCAGTTTAAGTTGGCCTTTTCCTGCTTCCACTGTGGCACAGAGGACATCAAGGGATCAGACGGTGTAGACCTGTTTCGGGCCACGCAGGAACACCCAGACCTGTATCCCTGGGAGGACGAAGAAGAGGAGGCAGAAGAGAAGCCATCAGAACGTGCAGAGGAAATGGCTCCCACTGAAGCCACTGCCACCAAAGAAGAGTCAGCACCCATTTAATGCAGGCCACCGTGCTGGTTCCTGTCCTCCCATTTCAAAGTGACCCTTTTGTAAAATGCCCTTTCATTTCATTGTTCTCCAAGAAATGTCTTTCCCTGTGTTGGTCTGTGCACTGTAATGTATAAAATAATTTATTTTGATGATCAGGGTCTTGGCCCCTTGACAGATACACTGCAAAGGAAAGCAGAGGTTGTGTGTGTGTGTGTGTGTGTGTGTGTGTGTGTGTGTCCATGTTCTGCATAAACCTGTCAGCCGGTGTAGCTGCCACTTTTGATTTCTCTCAGATTGTCCTGAATTTTGCTACTCTGAAATAATGTACTGGGTGGTCTTGGTAATTGAAAATGGTTATCCAGGAATGTTTCTCATAAGCCAGTTGATTTCTTCTGATATTTTCAGAGCTTTTGTACCTCTTTGAGAAATTAAATGGAAGCAGCAACAGCGTGCTTCCAAAATGCTCCTGTGCGGTCATTCCTCGTAGAAGAGGCCAGATAGTCAAGCCCGCCAGACCCTTGCATGTGGGGTCGTCCCAGACTTTATTTCTCATATACTTTTGTTTCCATTAACCTTGAACTTGGTTTTCTAGTCTGGAAAGTGAGGATTTGGACCCTCCAATTCCTGCCCCTTTCTGTGTGAAAGAAAAGGCTGGTTTTTGCAGTTCTTGTTTTACTGTTGTGAGAGCCCTGGTTTGGGGTTTGTATTTATACTGCCTCTCAGGCTGGTCAGATGTCATGTTCCTAGAGGTTGGGATCTGATTATTACCAGCGTAGCAGCCACGAAAGGAAACTGTGAACTCAGTAACTCAAAAACAAAACAAAACAAAACAAAACAAACAAACAAAAAAAAAACAAAACGAAAGGTGATTTCTAAAAAGGAAAAGTAAAGAAGAAAAGAGGAAAAGAACTTATATTTTTTAAAAAATCACAGAATAAAAAAATGATAAAAGGGTGGAGGGAAAAATGAAGAAATCCGCAGGCAGAAAACTGAACAAAAAGATGAAAAATGAGAGAAAACATGAAAATATCCAACTAATTATCATCTTGCTGTGAAACAGGTGGGGTGAAGAATATGGAGGAACAGCTATCAAAGAAAGACTGGAGCTCCCCAGGACTGACTGGAGATATGAATAGAGATAGAAGAAGGGC